ATGGGAAATATGGTGTAGGAGTCCAAGTCCTTTCTTCCTGGCCTCGTTTTCGCCATGGGGATCGCGAGGAAGAAGGGTGTTTGGGGGAATGTGAATTTTCTGAGGTGTTGTTGGGTTGGAAGAAGATGAAGAAGCAGAAGAAGAACAGAGGAACCCTAGGTTGTAGGACTATGGGGTGTGTGGGGAGAGTAAAACTTATAAGGACACTAACCCAAAACTAAGGTGTTAAACACAACCAATTAAAAGGTGACACCACATCAAAATTTTGAAATATTACAAAGAAAAAAAAAATTTTAAATCAACCAGCTTTCTCTGTTTTGTCTTCTAGTATAGCTGGTACCCCAAGTCTCCAACCGAGTCATCCTTTACCCACTACTGTTACCGTTTGTGTATAACTCCATTTCTCACTTTCTTCTTCTTCTTCTTTTTTTTTTTTTTTTTTTTTTTTTTTTTTTTTTTTTTTTTTTCTCCTCTTCCTACTCGAGTTACCGTGTCTCTCTCGCGCCAACGTTGTCCTCACCCTTTCTCACTTAGGTCGGAGAAATACTAGGAACAAATTGTCGGAAACAATATTTTTAATTCGTTAAAATTTATTAAAAACATGAAAATTAGAGACTATATATTTTGTTTTATTTTCTTTAAGTTTATGAAGATGATTTAGATAATATTTTAAAATTGATTATAAAATTAATATTTTTAATTTCAGTAATTTTTAGAATTTTTTCTAATTTTTATATTTAAATTTTATTAGAGAATTTGTGAAATAGTATATATAAAATCTACCAACTTATTTCTTTGTTGATAAAAATATTATATTAAATCTATTAATATTATATAATTGTATCATTTTTAAATATGTTATGAATGATTTGAGGAATTAAAATAAGATTTTTAAAAAATATAAAAATTAAAAATAATAATTTTAAATTTAAGAGATTAAAAGTAAATTTATTTGAAGAATTAAAAACATATAATTTTTAATAAATTTTAATTAATAAAAATGTATTGAAAAAGTGTCTTGTATGATATGTCAGTCCATGTAAGTTTTTCTCTTTCCTAATTTGCTTCATCGTTTGATGTTTGCTTTCATTTATATGTAACGTGCTATATTTGTGAAGTCTAACGGTTTTATTATTGCAAAACATCAAAGTGAAATTTCGATTATAAACGAACAACAGTATAAACAATCCTTAAAAACCGGTTCTTTGACTTATTCGTGAAAGTAATTATGTACTTTAAGATGACTGGTTTAATTTTTATAGTTTGATTATTCTCATTTTCACTTACATTGTGATTGGTGAAGTGATTTAATAAGAAATTGAGAGGAGGCAAGAGATTAGCATAGATTTTTAAAATATTGTGTTTTTGGGAGAGGATTTGCAAAGAATTGTGTGTGAGTATCATAGATGAGTTTCTTACTCTTTAATTGCAGGGATTCATGCAAAAATATAACACTTGATGATGAAACTAATTTCACACTCCTATGACAAACTATATGTTATTTCCTCCCATAATCAACTATGTTGGTTTATAATCTATTATCATAGGATTCTAATACTGTTATTTGTGTATATAGAGTTCATCATACTCAATGTCAACTAGTATAGTTGCTTTATAATCAATGAAATATATAATTACTAATTAAATATAACTTTCAATTATCAGTTATTTATTACTAATTATTTATGAAAATATAATTTTGTAAAAATTTAACTTTTAACCGACTAAAAAATTAAATAAAAAATAAATATAGTGAAAAAATGCCTAAAAATTAGTATTTAGACATGTCATTATATGCAAAGGAGCGGCCATCAGGATGAGAGAAGGTGGAGACAATAGAGGACTGAGGAGGAGTCATCTCACGTAGGCGACAAAGGTATGGTCGTCACGATTTTTGCTTCAACGGAGAAGTTATAGCTAGTAAGTATTTGAAGGATTTATGGGGTGGGGAGGTGGCAAGGGTTGATAAATGCGATAGAGGAGCGACTATCACAATTTTGGGGATGGGGGATGAAGGAGGTTAGTAGGTGGTGAGGGACAATTAGGTAACGAAATACAACCGTTGTAGTTAGATGAGTTATGAATCTGCTATGCAACTATAGGTGGTACTCCAAGTATTTAGGTTTTGTGGCTATAGAGATATAAGGTTTGTAACTATGGAAATATATTAGAATAAGAAATACATAATAGAATATGTGAGAAATTTTGTTAACATGACAGTATTTTACAAATATTTTAAGCTAATGTGTGGACGTAATAGAGAGTAACTCAGTTTTTAAATTATAAATAGATAGATAACACCCTAGTGGGTTATATTACTTGTATGAGAGAAGTGCATCAAGGAGATCCCCTTTCTCCTGTTAGGTCCAGAGTAGGCTTAATAGTTACTCACAGCTAAAATAAGAGATGAGTAAAAAAAGAGACAAGGGAGAAAATAACCACAGTAAAAATATTATTTACTGAAAGGGAGGAAATTACAACACTTCTCTCTCTATAACTTACTCCTTTTAATTAGGAGACTACTACTACCGAGAACAGATCTCAAGGTGTATAAGAGAGGAAGAGAGAAGAGAAGAAGATTTGGGATGAAAATTATGGTTTTCAGCTTCCCTATTTATAGGAAAGTCCCAATGGCATTTTCGTAATTTCTCCTAAACTTTTAATATTATTTTATTATTATGTGGGACCCGCTTCTAATATAAAATTAGAAAACCACCGAAAGGTGGTGGCAGCTGTACGCAGCTGTACCTAACATTTCTCCCACTTGAAGATTATGATTAAGTTAATCATATCTTCACACCATTTCTTCTTTATTGATACTTCATGTTGCTTATGTTTCCAATAGGCCAAATAAGGATCGACACCATGTAAACTTGTCAGTGTTGACAGGCTTTGTCATTATACGGGTACAAGTACGGGTATGTACTTACCCGCCCGTACCCGTGCCCGTACCCGTCCCGTTCTCATTTTTAATTTAATACTCATTTTCAATTTAATTATATTAAAAAAAATTAATATTTTTTTATGTATAATTATTTATTATAATATAAGATAAAGAAATAACTTAATTATAATTATAATATAATAAAAAAATAATTTAAAAATATCATTTTTTTACAAAAAATAAAAAATAAAAAATTT